GTCAAACTAAACATAGCCCCCCTTTCTCCCCCACCCCCCCCCCCCCCCCCCCCCGGCCTGTGGACGGCTCTAAGACTTTATTACCGCGTGTCGCGTGAGTCTAGCCAGCAATCGCGCGCGCCGGAAGTGATCAGCACCTCCTACTTCCTGTCAAAAAGGCCGGGGTTATCGATCTTGTGTGACGCGATAAGATTTGCTGCTCGACCGTCAATGCTTACGGTCGATTGGCGAACTGCTGGCTCGTGGTGTAGCCACTGACTGGTAGCCGTGGCGTAGCCACTGGTAGCCTGTGGTGTAGCCACTGGTAGCCTATGGTGTAGCCACTGGTAGCCTATGGTGTAGCCACTGGTAGCCGTGGTGTAGCCACTGGTAGCCTATGGTGTAGCCACTGGTAGCCGTGGTGTAGCCACTGGTAGCCTGTGGTGTAGCCACTGGTAGCCTATGGTGTAGCCACTGGTAGCCTATGGTGTAGCCACTGGTAGCCTGTGGTGTAGCCACTGGTAGCCTATGGTGTAGCCACTGGTAGCCTATGGTGTAGCCACTGGTAGCCTGTGGTGTAGCCACTGGTAGCCTATGGTGTAGCCACTGGTAGCCACTGGTAGCCTGTGGTGTAGCCACTGGTAGCCACTGGTAGCCTATGGTGTAGCCACTGGTAGCCACTGGTAGCCTATGGTGTAGCCACTGGTAGGCTGTGGTGTAGCCACTGGTAGGCTGTGGTGTAGCTAATCGCAGCTTATGTGGTCGCCACAGCTAGATTATGTTCTAGATATAAAAAGCTTGTATGGTAGCCACTGGTAGCTGCCCTTAGCGTAGCAGTGTAGCTGGTCACAGCTTATGTCGTAGCGACAAGTAGCTAGTCTGGTAGCCATAGTAAGTTTTTGGTGTAACTACGATGTCTCCATATTACCAAATGACCACCCTGTTCTTAATTTATGACCACCCCTCTTGAGCGGAAGTTCATGACGGACGGATGGTAGAAGATGGCGAAGGAGAGCGGATTCAATTTGTCTTTTCATCCCTCACTTGTCCCCCATCCATCCCTTGATGTATTAACACGAGTGAAATTGATTCCTGTGAAAACCGGCTATTTATTCACAGACAAGGGCGATAACTTTGATATTACTTCCCTTTGAGTTCCTGCCCTTTCCTCCCCTTCCTATTTTACCTTTGCCTTTTTTAACACGAAAAGTTTAAAGGAAACAAATTATCTTTGCCTTCTTGAGGGTGTGAGTGGTGTTTAAATGTTTCCTGAGTAGACTATAAATAACATGGCGTTTACAGTGTATGGGCCGAACTTAGCCCACAGTATCAACATAGCCCAGTATAGCCCACAGTATCAACATAGCCCACAGTCTCAACATAGCCCACAGTATCAACATAGCCCTGTATAGCCCACAGTATCAACATAGCCGACAGTATCAACATAGCCCAGTCTCAACATAGCCCACAGTATCAACATAGCCCACATTATCAACATAGCCCAGTATAGCCCACAGTATCAACATAGCCCAGTATCAACATAGCCCAGTCTCAACATAGCCCACAGTATCAACATAGCCCAGTATAGCCCACAGTATCAACATAGCCCAGTATCAACATAGCCCACAGTATCAACATAGCCCACAGTATCAACATAGCCCAGTATCAACATAGCCCAGTATCAACATAGCCCAGTCTCAACATAGCCGACAGTATCAACATAGCCCACATTATCAACATAGCCCAGTATAGCCCACAGTATCAACATAGCCCACAGTCTCAACATAGCCCACAGTATCAACATAGCCCTGTATAGCCCACAGTATCAACATAGCCCAGTATCAACATAGCCCACAGTATCAACATAGCCCAGTATCAACATAGCCCAGTCTCAACATAGCCCACAGTATCAACATAGCCCAGTATAGCCCACAGTATCAACATAGCCCAGTATAGCCCACAGTATCAACATAGCCCACAGTCTCAACATAGCCCACAGTATCAACATAGCCCTGTATAGCCCACAGTCCCAACATAGCCCACAGTTCCAACATAGCCCACAGTATCAACATAGCCCAATATAGCCCACAGATCCAACACAGCCCACAATCCCAGCAGAGCCCACGCGGCCCTGAGCCCACCATGCGAGCCACAAAATAGCCCAAACCCCACAAGAAAAAATTAGCACATAGCCCTCATGTTACACATCTTACACGCCCAAGTCCAAAGCCCTAATTTTAAGGTAAAAAACAACAACTGGAAAGGCTGATGTACACCAAAAAAAAACTAACATTTCTTGTTTTTGTTAATAATGGAAGCTAGAAAACATATTTTTAAAAGCTACGCACCAAAACTGAAACGCAAGTAAACTTAGTGCGAAACAAGACGCAGCTTGAACGTAAACACAATTTTTCTTTACACACCCAAACGACCCAATCCACTTGGTCAAGAAAATACGTACAATTTTCATTCATTTTCTTCATTTTAGTTTAAAGAAAAACACTTATCCCTTTACACTAGAAACTCGTAGTTTGTGGTTATTTATACATTCTCATTTTCGTTTCTATTTTGATTTTTTTTAGTTGAAAAGCGCAGGGGGAAAAAAGCTGGTTTTAGCACGAGTTATTCCTCTTAATTATGTCAGAGTTGTTCCTCTTGGTTATCTTTTCAACCCCACTTCACGTAGTCTGTGTGCCAAGTGTTCTTGTGGATTTGTCTTGCTGGTAGTTTGTGTTTCCCATCAAACATCAGTGGGGATGTTACCTCGGATGTTACCATCACAAGTCGATCACACCGACGTTTGGGGGGGGGGGGGGGGGGACAAAACAAAACCTTGTGGCAAAGTCTTGTTTGCCTGCATCGTTTTACTTGCGGAATAATGTTCTGGTATTGATAACAAATGGTGTGGGGGAAAAGTCATTGAACACTCACAAAATGGGTGGGTGGATTGGTGGATGGAAAAATCAATGTCTGTATCTATATATATACATATATATATATATATATATATATATATATATATATATATATATATATATATATAGATATATATATATAGATATATTTATATATAGATATATATAGATATAGATATACAGATAGATATAGACATATATATATATATATATATATATAGAGAGAGAGAGAGATAGATATAGATACAGATAGATATAGACATATATATATATATATATATATATATATATATATATATATATATATATATATATATATATATATATATATATATATATAGCTTGTCTGTATAATTTCACTGTAAATATTTAATGATTTATCCAAATATAAATCACAATAAGAAATCGATAAAGCTACGTAATTTGTGTCCGAGGCCGAATCTTTTTTCTGTAATTTAATCTCCATCTCCCTCCGTATTCCCGCGGCTTGAATTCATCGATAAATTTCATATTTGCAGTTCTGGCTTTCAAAATGAACATTGCTCGCTAATTCAATCTCCCCCAATAAGAACGCGATAGAATAAAAAAAAAAAGGTATTCAACCCTCCCTTCTTGTCGTCAGCTAATAAAATCCCGCTTTCGAAAACACTTTCCCTGACTGGCGAAGACCCCTGGACGACCGGTGTCGTTCTCTCACTGTCTACCCCGTCAATAATATCCTAGGGTGAAATTAATTTCTACTCACCGGCCTCCCAGTCTGGGAGAGTTCTAAGGCCAGCTTAGCGGTGCCACGGGTAATGAACACTCGAGAAGACCGTGGACGGGGTTTAATCTTATCCCACGCCTCTCCAAGACTAAATCTGATGCTGGGAAGATGAGGGTGGTGATGGGGGGGGGGGGGGGAGAAAAAACATTTCTATCCGGTTCCTCTTTGGGAATCAATTTGTACGACAGCTGCTAGAAGAAATGGGGTATCGATGGTAATCGATGGGGGTGTGGGGAGACACGAGCTTCTATGGTTACCATGGGTATACCATCATGTTTTGTCATGGGTATACCATCATGTTTTGTCATGGGTATACCATCATGTTTTGTCATGGGTATACCATCATGTTTTGTCATGGGTATACCATCATGTTTTGTCATGGGTATACCATCATGTTTTGTCATGGGTATACCATCATTTACCATGAGTATTTAATCTTTTACCATGAGTATAGCATTATTATGGGCATACCATCTTTTACCATGGGTATACCATCATGATTTATCATGCGCATACGCATCCGTTATCATGGGTATACCATCATCTTTTGCCATTGGTATACCATCATGTTTTGTCATCAGTATACCGTCATTTACCATGGCTATATAATCTTTTACCATGAATATAACATTATGTTTTATCATGGGCATACCATCTTTTACCATGGGTATACCATCATGATTTATCATGCGCATACGCATCCGGTATCATGGGTATACCATCATCTTTTGCCATTGTTATTCCATCATCTTTTGTCGCCATAGGTATCAGCACTTTTTGTAAACCATATCTTTTTGGGTATACCGTAATATTTTGAAGCTATAGCTATTCTGGTACAAAAACAATGCTTTGGAATCCCCATTCACCATTCATCTTTGAGATTCCTAGAATTGTTTGTCCTACACCAAAACCTTGTGTTAGCCATTAATATTTGCGTTAGTTGAAACCTAGGCAGATGACGCTTATCTGCCGGTGACATCAACCTATCTAGGAGAGAAAACTTTAAAAATTAAACCACTGCTCCTTGGTAGATGTTTCTAGTTTATAGACATTTGAAGCACACCCAGAAAATAAAGCAGGCTGAAGTTTGAGTCAATGCCATATGCTGCATAACAGTTTGACATGTGTAAGAAGAAATCCCCTGCAATGTTATTATTATAGAGTGAAAGGGTCGACGTTTGGTTTAAAAAATGTACACCGTGTATGACTGCCTATTTTTCATGACAATCTGTACAGAAGTTAAACAGGGAAAACAACATACAGCTATACAAACTACGGCCACTAAAAAAATTTTGACCCGTTTATTCTTTTAATACTTGAGTATACTTTTTATCTTACAGGCAACAGTGCAACAAACCACACATGAAATACAAAGACTTTGGATCAACTGTGAAGGACGCTACATGTGCTTGTGCCGATGGCTACCACTTCCCTAACGAGGACCAGAGGGCCTGTATACCCAACAAACGCTGTCCTAAAGGCACATACCACGGGATATATGGTCAGTTGTAGGCCAGAGGGCCTGTATACCCAACAAACGCTGTCCTAAAGGCACATACCACGGGATATATGGTCAGTTGTAGGCCAGAGGGCCTGTATACCCAACAAACGCTGTCCTAAAGGCACATACCATGGGATATATGGTCAGTTGTAGGCCAGAGGGCCTGTATACCCAACAAACGCTGTCCTAAAGGCACATACCACGGGATATATGGTCAGTTGTAGGCCAGAGGGCCTGTATACCCAACAAACGCTGTCCTAAAGGCACATACCATGGGATATATGGTCAGTTGTAGGCCAGAGGGCCTGTATACCCAACAAACGCTGTCCTAAAGGCACATACCACGGGATATATGGTCAGTTGTAGGCCAGAGGGCCTGTATACCCAACAAACGCTGTCCTAAAGGCACATACCACGGGATATATGGTCAGTTGTAGGCCAGAGGGCCTGTATACCCAACAAACGCTGTCCTAAAGGCACATACCACGGGATATATGGTCAGTTGTAGGCCAGAGGGCCTGTATACCCAACAAACGCTGTCCTAAAGGCACATACCACGGGATATATGGTCAGTTGTAGGCCAGAGGGCCTGTATACCCAACAAACGCTGTCCTAAAGGCACATACCACGGGATATATGGTCAGTTGTAGGCCAGAGGGCCTGTATACCCAACAAACGCTGTCCTAAGGGCACATACCACGGGATATATGGTCAGTTGTAGGCCAGAGGGCCTGTATACCCAACAAACGCTGTCCTAAGGGCACATACCACGGGATATATGGTCAGTTGGTGGACTGTGGGGTTTATGTATGGTCAGTTGTAGGCCAGAGGGCCTGTATACCCAACAAACGCTGTCCTAAGGGCACATACCACGGGATATATGGTCAGTTGGTGGACTGTGGGGTTTATGTATGGTCAGTTGTAGGCCAGAGGGCCTGTATACCCAACAAACGCTGTCCTAAGGGCACATACCACGGGATATATGGTCAGTTGGTGGACTGTGGGGTTTATGTATGGTCAGTTGTAGGCCAGAGGGCCTGTATACCCAACAAACGCTGTCCTAAGGGCACATACCACGGGATATATGGTCAGTTGTAGGCCAGAGGGCCTGTATACCCAACAAACGCTGTCCTAAGGGCACATACCACGGGATATATGGTCAGTTGTAGGCCAGAGGGCCTGTATACCCAACAAACGCTGTCCTAAGGGCACATACCACGGGATATATGGTCAGTTGTAGGCCAGAGGGCCTGTATACCCAACAAACGCTGTCCTAAAGGCACATACCACGGGATATATGGTCAGTTGTAGGCCAGAGGGCCTGTATACCCAACAAACGCTGTCCTAAAGGCACATACCACGGGATATATGGTCAGTTGTAGGCCAGAGGGCCTGTATACCCAACAAACGCTGTCCTAAAGGCACATACCACGGGATATATGGTCAGTTGTAGGCCAGAGGGCCTGTATACCCAACAAACGCTGTCCTAAAGGCACATACCACGGGATATATGGTCAGTTGTAGGCCAGAGGGCCTGTATACCCAACAAACGCTGTCCTAAAGGCACATACCACGGGATATATGGTCAGTTGTAGGCCAGAGGGCCTGTATACCCAACAAACGCTGTCCTAAGGGCACATACCACGGGATATATGGTCAGTTGTAGGCCAGAGGGCCTGTATACCCAACAAACGCTGTCCTAAAGGCACATACCACGGGATATATGGTCAGTTGTAGGCCAGAGGGCCTGTATACCCAACAAACGCTGTCCTAAGGGCACATACCACGGGATATATGGTCAGTTGTAGGCCAGAGGGCCTGTATACCCAACAAACGCTGTCCTAAGGGCACATACCACGGGATATATGGTCAGTTGGTGGACTGTGGGGTTTATGTATGGTCAGTTGTAGGCCAGAGGGCCTGTATACCCAACAAACGCTGTCCTAAGGGCACATACCACGGGATATATGGTCAGTTGGTGGACTGTGGGGTTTATGTATGGTCAGTTGTAGGCCAGAGGGCCTGTATACCCAACAAACGCTGTCCTAAGGGCACATACCACGGGATATATGGTCAGTTGTAGGCCAGAGGGCCTGTATACCCAACAAACGCTGTCCTAAAGGCACATACCACGGGATATATGGTCAGTTGTAGGCCAGAGGGCCTGTATACCCAACAAACGCTGTCCTAAAGGCACATACCACGGGATATATGGTCAGTTGTAGGCCAGAGGGCCTGTATACCCAACAAACGCTGTCCTAAAGGCACATACCACGGGATATATGGTCAGTTGTAGGCCAGAGGGCCTGTATACCCAACAAACGCTGTCCTAAAGGCACATACCACGGGATATATGGTCAGTTGTAGGCCAGAGGGCCTGTATACCCAACAAACGCTGTCCTAAAGGCACATACCACGGGATATATGGTCAGTTGTAGGCCAGAGGGCCTGTATACCCAACAAACGCTGTCCTAAAGGCATATACCACGGGATATATGGTCAGTTGTAGGACGGTGGGGTTTATGTATGGTCAGTTTTAGGCCAGTGGTGTTTATGTATGGTCAGATGTAGGTCAGGGGTGTTGGTTGTATGGTCAGTTGTAGACCAGTGGTGTTTATTGTATGGTCAGTTGTGGGCTAGTGGTGTTTATACTATGATCATTTTCAATTCAGTCTTTGGTTTAATACTTAGTTGTTTTTAAGCTCAGATTTAGAATAATTCAGTCAGTTACAGCACTAAATATTGCACTAAATTCTAGTTGCAATGTTTTTCTCAAAGATTCCTTAAAGAATAGTATATTAGGGGCTTTAGAACTTAAAATATTACTTGTGCAATTGTTGACACAATTGGCTTATTTTAATAATTTTTTTATAGCCTAATTTTTTAATATATAGCATGTGTTCTTTATATTTTATGTACTGTGTGTTTATCTATGCATTGTGTGATTAAAGGATACATTTTGTACCAGTTGTATGTGTGTGTTTTGCGACTTAATAGATCTATTAATAGTTTTGCCTTGTTTTCTCAGGCAACTGTGAGAAATGTTTGGACAGGGGAATGTACTCTGACACATCTGACACCATGAATAAATGTAAACCACTTACAAAGTAAGTTTTTTTTTTTTTCTGTTTGATTGCTGTAGCTTATCTGTCTACAATTTTCAAAATCAGTGCTCAGTTTTTATTCACTATCTTTTTAGTTTCATTGTTTTGGACTAGTCTTAAAATGCTCCATTTTAATATTCTCTGTGAGCTTATCATATAAATCTACTATTTTAAAAAAAAAAATCCAAGTTTAAAAAAAAAAAAACAATTGAAAGGATAATAACATTAGAGCAATGTGTGTTGTGTTTATAAATAGATGTGTATTAGTTTAGTGGTGCTGTGTAGGACATAAGATAAATATGATTTGTTTACTTCAGCTGTGCTAAACAGAGCAGGTGTATTTTAACAGCCAGTACTGGAGAGGCAGACAACATTTGTGGGCCTGTGGTCAAAGGTAGGCAACTCTATGTTTGCACTTCATAAAAATACATCAACGCATATTTTTTTTTTTGAATCATTATATTAAAAAATTTATGGTTATTAAATATTATACATTTTCATTAAAAATCTATTATTATACATTTTTTATTTATCTACAATTTTTTATTAGATTTTTTTCTTACCCTTTAAAATTAATTTTATTCTCTGTTTGGTAGTTTATTGTATATCTTTTCAAAATAAACCTGTTTCTGTTCGCGTCAATCTCAAGTCAACTTTTGTAATTTCAGATCTGACGACGTGTGAGGAGCTGAACCACCACGCCTCCCCCTCCTCTGGCATACTGACCTACACTATTGTGGGCGGGGTGGTGGGGGCCCTGGTGCTGTTCTTGGTGCTCATCCTCATCTTCTGCTTCAGGCGGCGGCAGCTGCGGCGCCAGTGCAACCAGCGCGCGCTCACAGAGACAGAGGTTGAACAGCTGAGGGTCAAGGTCGTTAAGGACAGCGAGAGGGACCCAGTCTTGTTCAAGAAAGGTAAATTCCATTTTTTGGTCTCATAGATTCCTTATGTTAATTTGCGAATCTGTCTTTTTGTTGAGAAATAAGGTAATACAGTATCTGGTCTAATTTGAAATGGTACCATTAAATAACAAAAGATGAGAAAAGATTTTTTATAAACATTGCTCCTATAGTACCTAAGGTTTAGAGATGAAAAGCTAAAACTAATTATTACTCATAATCAAAGCTTTTTAACTCTTGTGGTGGGTATTAATTTTAAGAATAAATTATACTAAATGTTTAAATTATATTGATCCAGCCATATTTAACAATTAACCTTTTACCTTCCAGTTTTATCCACATCGTTTAGTTTTATTGAGGAGAGAATTGACCGCCAAATCTGGACACTCGCACAAGAACTTTTTAGATCCCATCCAAAACAGGGGCACTTCGAGTTCATTGTTGACAAATATAAAGGTAGATTTTTTTTTTCTCTGATATAGCCTTACATAACAGTGTAAACATACAACTAAGTTAGTTCACTTTTTTTCTGAACAGTTGACTATTAACACAACTGTTGACTATTTCCACAACTGTCAACTATTTCCCACAAGTTTTGATTATTAACACAATCATTGACTATTAACACAATCATTGACTAGTCAGAGTTGCTGACTCTCCACATCTATCAACCATTAATGCAACTGTCAGCTATTCCCAGAACTGTTGACTGTGAACACAACAGTTGACTATTTCCACAATTGTTTCCCAATCGTTTGGTTCTGTGTCCACAGACAGCCAAGCCAAGTACACCATTAACGGCTACCTCCAGGAGTGGAAGCTGTGGAGAGGGGAGAGCAAGGACACAATATCAGAGCTCTTCAGGTGCCTGAGGGTGGTCAAGAGAGACGACATTGTCAATGAAATTTGCATGTGTCTACGCAAAGATGTTGGTGAGTTCAGTTGGTTCTCTCTGTGTTTTGTGGGTCTAAATGTTTGCTCTTAGTGTCAAAATGGTATACGGTTTAATAGATATCAGGGAATATGTTTTTCTTAATGGAATGGTTTTGTACAAGAGTCTTTATGGTTTCTATGACTTTATTATTTGTAATGTCAGTTGCCATGGACTGTCTTGTTAAGATTTTGGTCCAATCCAGTATCAAAACACTAATCCCTTTGATGAGAAGTCACTTTCCATACCCAGGCTTAACTAAATCTGGTCGAGATTTTAGTTTATCCCAGTATCCAAGCACTAATCCCTTTGATAAGTAGTCAATTACCATACCCTATCTTCCATAATCTGGTCAAGATTTTGCTCCATCCCAGCAGTCATTTACCATACCCAACTATCTTAAAAATAGTGTGTAGATAAATTTAAAATTGATGGCTTTTTATTAGTTCCCAATAGTTGTATTGTTTTGTGTTTCGACTTTACAAATAACAAACAACTGATTGAAACAAATAAGTTTGAAATGTCTAAATAACTAAAGATGTGTTTTATAATGTATTATTTTCTCCCCATTAATTCCGCCTTTATTTCTCTACTGCTGTAGACTACCACACAGACATGGACTACCAACACGGCTACCACAAACAGACTCTGACAGACGAGTGCGTCTACATCTTCTTCCCCTGCTGCTACCACAAGAACGAAAAGTCTCCATCCACACCACTTGGGAGCGTCGTCGTCGTAGAAAACGATGGTGGGGAAGCCGGTACCAAACTCCTGGCTATTGCGACAGACGATATAGAGGACGGCACTGACGAGGGCACGGGTGGGGTGCGGCCACCACCAGGGACCTTCTACCGATCCCACCCCTCCCCCAGTGCCCCGGCGCTTGATGACACAAACACTGCTTTTCCTCCGCTAGAAAATGTCAAGTTTAGTCGCCAGTGGTCTCAGCCTGTTCAAGCTACTTCTTGAGTTTAAAAACAAACTTGAAGACATTTTAGATCCAGTTCCACAAGAGTAGAACCAACAGGGGAGATCACTCCCAACAAAGAGATGAAACATTAATGGCGAGCATGAAGTTCATTCAGTACAAGTTCTCCGACGCTAGCAGCTCATTCCTGATACTGCAACTTGTCGAACTGTGGATAAATTTTTTTTTTTTAATTAAATCAGCCAATCAGAGTTTTTTTTATCTAAATTTGTCATTTTTATATCTATTTTTTTTTTATTATTATGATTTTTGTAGCTATAATACTAGGCTATTATTAACTCTTGGTCATGTGACCAGCCAAATATAACTTACAAAAATGTGCAGTGATACAGCATTTGTGATTGAAATGTGTTTGTGTGTGTGACTATTTCTATGTGAAAAGTACTGGCTACTAGCTATGCCTGTCCATGGCATGTCAATGTCTGCCAGTGATGTGTCTGTTAACGGTGTCAATGTCTGCTAATGTCAAAGTATAAATTATACATCTTGACGTGTAGATATGTATAGCTTACCATTTGTGTATTATATTCTAACTAGCTTGACACATGCTATCACACTTCACAGAATACAGGTCAGTCCCCAGTGACCATAGTTTAATGAAACATGAGAAAATGGTGTGCCATAGATGTGACATTAGTAGAGTTCATTTTGTACATTCCATTGTATTCTCATTTTAAAAGAAGTCAAAAGTTAACTGCTTTTAACATTTTTAATGAATTTTTTTTTGTATATGCAATGAATTTGTTCTCTATTTACATTTTAACGCCATCTTTTAAAAATAGTCCCACACTGAAATAATAAGTAAAAACCAAATTAGCCTATAATTTATAATATCCAATTTAAGAAGAAATATATAAAGTTTTATCTTTCTATTTTTTGCACAGTTCATGTGGAGATGAAGATGTTTTCTATATCTTGAGCTATGATTATCAATATGCTTACTGCACACAATATGTAAAACTCTATACTCCTTCTCCCCCACTCTCATTGAATAAAGTCAGCCAATTTGTGTTCAGCTAGTTTGTTTTCTAATCATCTCATAATTCATTCACTTATTGGTTGTTTATTTATATTCCATCTCATTTGATTGGCTGTTTAACATTTCAGTTGGATTGGTTGTTGCTTTTCAGTGAAATTGGATTGGCCGTTCATGAATAAAACTGATATTTGAATGGTATTTGTGTGTAAAAATGAGGACTATAAACAATTTGATGAATGAAATTAAATTTTGTTGCAAATTACAAAATACATCAGAAAAAGTCAAATAAGATTGGTGGCTCATTCAATCATCACTTCTTTTAAAAACAAAAATAAAATTGTATTCAAAATATGACCATAAAATTAAGATTTGAATGTAACTGTTGGAATTTGAAAAACCTAATGTATGCTCTTTTTTTTTTAACTTCTTATCACAAATTTAAATCTGGTTTTTAGTTTAACCAAAACCATACTTCTGTTGTTTGTTTTTATAATTTCCTTCATAATTTAGCTCATGTGAGTGACAGAATTACTCTTGAGCTAAAATCATAGATTTGTTTCTTTATTACAAGCACAAATTATTCTGGCTTTGATTTTTTTTTTGGGTTGTCATGACAACAGCTTTATTTTGTTTATGCATTTATGTACATATATCTCTGTTGCTGGTACAAAATACTGTGGTCCCATACGATAGTCATATGACTTATTTTATGTGGTCCCATAATATATTAGTCATGTGACTTGTTTAAAAATTTTGACTTTAAAAATCACTGAGTGTGAAAAAACTTTTTTTTTTCTTTTTTTTTTATCAAAAATGAAGATTTGGTTAAAAAGTATTACGTGTTTCATTATGTTTTGATAGTATGTGATATTTCTGTTGATCTTGATATGACCCTTGACCCCTGAGTGCCATCACTGTGTTACTCAACAACTTCACAGGTGATATGTGTCGGATACTGCGTCAAAATATAAAGTGACATTTTGTTTTCTGTGATTTGATCAAAGTCCTGATCTTTGTTGTGTCTGATGGGGGGGGGGGGGGTGTAAGATGTCCTGTCAATGAAGACATGTCTTGTCAACTTAAGACATGTCTGAATAATTGCCAGACATTTGTGAAAAACAAATTATTGTCAACTTGTATCTGTAAGTGGGCACAGGTTTCTTTCATGATTTAGGTATCTTGAGTGATTCAAGTTGCTTATATGATTTGAGTTTCTTATATGATGTAAGTTATTTGAATTATATAAGTTGCTTACATGATTTGAGTTTCTTATATGATGTAAGTTATTTGAATTATATAAGTTTCTTACATGATTTGAGTTTCTTATATGATGTAAGTTATTTGAATTATATAAGTTGCTTACATGATTTGAGTTTCTTATATGATGTAAGTTATTTGAATTATATAAGTTGCTTACATGATTTGAGTTTCTTATATGATGTAAGTTATTTGAATTATATAAGTTGCTTACATGATTTGTTACTTGAAAGATTCAAGTCCCTGTAATGATTTAGGTTACTTACATGATTTGAGTTACTTAAATGATTTGAGATGTATGATAGGACTATTGAGCTTTTGTGGTTTTTTGGTGCCGGATGTTGTAGATTTGATGGTGCAGGATGCTTTGTTGAAGAAAGTCTTGGTACAATTTGTGATCTTGTTGGTCATTGTATAAGGACAAGTTGACCTTGTGATGTAGAATTTTGACCCATTGTATGGAGAAAATGTGACCTAATTAATATGTGGAGAAAATGTGACCTAATTAATATGTGGAGAAAATGTTACCTAATTAATGTGTGGAGAAAATGTGACCTAATTAATGTGTGGAGAAAATTTAAGTGTGGGGATAATATAAACATAGTGTGTAAACTATGAGTGTGTGGTGATGGTTGTGTGTATAGACCGAATGGTTTAGTGCGGGACAGTGTCTGGTTTTGGTGTAGGCTACATGGTCAAGTCGGCTTAAGAAAACTTATCTATTTAACTTTTGCATGTGTCAATATATTGTGCTCGTATATTGGTACAAACCTTTAACAATTATCACAATGTTTATTTCTTCAATTTTGAAGATGCAGGTGCAAACTTTATTACAATTCAAACTAATTACCTTGTACATAGGTCTTTGACTATTAGCTTTTTTGTGTACAATAATCTTTAACTGTAAGATTTTGTGTACATGGTTCTACAACCGTGAGAGCCTTGTGTACGTTGATCTTTGCTAGATCTTGTGTGCATAAGACTTAAGCTGTAGTGGATCTTTGTTTGCATAGATCTTTGACTGTTCAGACTTGTGTACAAAGATCTTTAAATCAAGATCTTGTGTACATAGATCATGTTTTTAAAAATTGTGTCAGATTCTTTTATCTATTATATAATATGTTCACTACTATTCAAAATAAATAAAACATATTTTTAAATGCTAAAATATATTGTTTTTGTCCTCATTTGAATATAGAAATAGTGATCTATTTTAAGAAACAGAACCATGAAATTACAATTAATACATTGCTATTTGATGGAGATTATTTCATTTTCCTAAAAAGAAGAGTTTCCTTGTAAGACTCTTCTTGTGGATTACTAATACCTTTTTTTTTGGGGGGGGGGGGGGGGGGGGGGGGCTGCAAGTCTGCCGCTTCCCCCCCCCCCCCCCCCCCTATTCAGACTTAATATTAAAAAAATAGTTTATCTAGAATATATATACTTAAATAAGTGTGCGCCCCTCCCCCTACACACAGGTAGTTTATTGTGCCCAGCTCTCTCTATATATAAGTGTTATGATAATTAAAATTCATTTCTATAACTTGCTAGCTTGACAACCTTGAACCTTTCACGTATTTGAGAGAGAGCGAAAAAAGTAGAGACACGAAAATTGTAGGCTATAACTCAGGAATCTTGTGAGTGCGGGAATCTCTTCAATCTTTGTAGAGCGACATGTGACAGGTCAGCCTGGGATGTTCGTTGGGTGAAGGTTGGGGGACGGCAGTGGCGGCATTAGAAAAACTGCCCCCCCCCCTAGACGAAATGGAACTTACATAAATATATTTTTTTAACAATGTCCGCGGACCCCCCCCCCCCCCGGCGGAAATTATAGTTCGCCCCCTTTTCCCACCCGAAAATTTTAAGTGCCCCCCCCCCCCCGGAGAGAAAAAGTTTGAAAGAAACACTATATATATATATATATATATATATATATATATATATATATATATATATATATATATAATATATATATATATATATATATATATATATATATATATATATATATATATATATCCTAATTTATAAAAGGCCATGTGCGCTCTTCTCTCTCTCTCTCTCTTTCTCTGTCCGCAAAAAATTTTCGCCGGACATCACGTCAGAATCGGCAGCGATATATCGAGAACTTTTTACGGACTTTTGTTGAAAATAATATGTTAGATGTTTTAAATGTATAACCACAATTTTACTTAAATAAGAAAAATAAAAATTAAAGGCGTATTCGAATGTAGAGAAACAGTATTATTTATGCAACCGGAAAAGCATTAATAGATGTGTTAAAGAACGCACAAAACTGTGACGACACTATTGCTTACTAATGACGTCATCTGCCGTGTTTAGAATAAAAAAGAAATGAACTATTTCATTCAAATTTGATTTAGATCTACGTACACTATGAAATGTATACAATACAATTTTTCCGGCCTAAACTCATAACATTTATTTATACAAAATCTTTGTTTGGAACTGGCTAATTTGGGATAAAAAAGTTAATTTGAAAGAATAGGCATATTCGCGTAAGTTAAGATTTTAAAATACGTCTTTCATTCTCTGTATTTTATAAGGTGCCTAAATAGCGGAGATGTTAGTGTACTATAAACCACGCAGGTGGTGCGGGTTCGAGACCCACCAAATCAACTTGGTTAATGTATTTTTTTTATTTTGCTCGGACTAAACTTAAAAAAAAAAATTCAATTAGGATTCTAGATCTAGATCTAGATTGTCGGGTGTCCGATAAGGCACTTCCCGGCGCCGCAGGCGCTTCAAATTTGGCAGGATCTTGCCTTGGGGCGACAGAACACGGGGGCCGGTTGGCCAAAAAGTCTACGATGAGGGGGTCAAAACTGACCTCGACTGACCGGTACCTTATATGAGCTATAAATCGAAAAAAAATGTCCACGGAGGAACCTCTTCATAACTCTTGAGGTCGTAGACCGACCCTCGGGCGAATTAATTAAGCATTCAAATTCTCAATGTTTTCGAAAGCCTAAGCGAAGCTGGGCAGCATGCCTAGTATATATATAAGAACAAAGAAGACATTTATTTTTTTGTGGTCTAATTTCTAAAATGCAATCATTTGTTTTGAAATGTGTGTATATCGTAACGAGTTTTTTAATTGTTACTCATTGTCGATTCGCTTTTGGCGCCCCGTATGTTTGGGAGTGCATCCCCTACATTCCGCAGCAACAGCCACGCCTCTGCTTTAAAGTACACATAACTTAAGCACGTATCTAGTGGTGGTCTGACCGTCCATTTTGATCCACCTGATTCATAAAAGTCGTCTGGTCTGTAAAAATCTTGTCCAGAAGCGGGACATCAGCTAGTTAATTCACAAACTTGCCATCTGCCCCGAGATTTATGTGCCCTGTGTAAGCCTCGTCAGCTCACGGCGACTACGTCACTCTGTCACACGTCTCGACTATTTCCGGCTGGAGTTTTCGAAAGTCAAGGTCACACATCACGTGAATAGGTTAGATCCACGAGCCACAGTTGAAAAAGTTGGTCGAGTGAAACGGTAAGGTGCGCATTCTTTTTTAAACAGAATTTTTTTTTCAACTTTTTTAAACAGCACATTAAAAAAAATGATAATTTTTATAAAACAAAATACCAGCAGTGACTTTAAAAAAAAATTAAAAATTGTTTCATCTGCAACTCTATGCTGCAAATAATTTTAGCTAAAGTCAGAGGAAAAAAAAGTTCCCCATTTTTCCCCTCAATTAATCCGCAACAAAAGTGGAGAACCTGGAGAGCTAATTAATTAATTAACGTGTCGTTTAAAACGTCTTGACTTGGTCTCGAGTGTTTCTTTATGTATAAACGTAGTTTTTTTTAAAGCCAGATTTACGGTTCTTGTAGCATGCACTTTTCAGTTACAATTTAAAAGAAAATTTAGTTTTCAGATAATTAGCCATTATATTTATTAATTTCCAATTATTTTTTTACGGAGTTCGTATATTGAAATGGCGTAGTCCCTATGTATAATAAATAGTGTTTCAAGTGTCTGGTAATTTTCTCACTGTGCTTAACTAACTTGCAGTTGGCTTACAACTTGCGGATATTTCTCGCACCGACGACTGAGAAGGAGTGAGTGGACCCTGGAGTGAGTGGACCCTTGAGTTGATCATGCAGAGCGAGTCTGGCCGGACACCCCAGTGGGTCACCCTAGACGTGGAATCGGCTGACACCCACGGGGAGCTGCCCACACACGTGACAGGTAGGTTTAGGTTAACACGGGTGTGAGGTAGGTTTAGGTTTACACGGGTGTGAGGTAGGTTTAGGTTTACACGGGTGTGAGGTAGGTTTAGGTTAACACGGGTGTGAGGTAGGTTTAGGTTTACACGGGTGTGAGGTAGGTTTAGGTTTACATGGGTGTGAGGTAGGTTTAGGTTAACACGGGTGTGAGGTAGGTTTAGGTTTACACGGGTGTGAGGTAGGTTTAGGTTTACATGGGTGTGAGGTAGGTTTAGGTTTACACGGGTGTGAGGTAGGTTTAGGTTTACACTGGTGTGGTGTAGGTTTAGGTTAACACGGGTGTGAGGTAGGTTTAGGTTTACACGGGTGTGAGGTAGGTTTAGGTTTACACTGGTGTGGTGTAGGTTTAGGTTAACACGGGTGTGAGGTAGGTTTAGGTTAACATGGGTGTGAGGTAGGTTTAGGTTTACACGGGTGTGAGGTAGGTTTAGGTTTACATGGGTGTGAGGTAGGTTTAGGTTTACACGGGTGTGAGGTAGGTTTAGGTTTACACGGGTGTGAGGTAGGTTTAGGTTTACATGG